CAGGCGAAGAACTCCCGGTCAAATCGACTGCCTCGGCAGCGACAGCGGGGGATGTAACCCCCTCCGCCCTGCAAGAAGCAGAGGTCCCCGGCTCATCCTTCTTTCTTTTTCGGTTCAGTTTCAAGGGGGAAACTTCCTCCTCAGAAGCTTCAGGAGCCTCGAGTTCGGTAACCTTGAAGCGGTGCTTTAACTCGCGCCACGAGTTTCTCCCCAATATACCTACAAGAAACGGAACACATGTCAACAAAAGCAAAGATGCACGAACCCTAACGAACCACAAAACACAAAAATAAGAGATACTCACTCTCCAAACCCCTCTCTCTGTGCAACGAACTCTCAAGTGACAGAACGAGTTTAACATCCATAGGACGGGGAAGCGCCTTGAGATTCTCAATGGCAGCCACCTCCGAGGCCGTCAACTGCGAAGGATCCACCCCATTGAACCCAGACGGGTCGGGACACCAATAAAGAGGAAACTTCGGCAACCCACCGAAGTAGAACGCACTATCCTCAGATGGGTCAACACCAACAAGAGCGACTCGGAAAAACTCCTGCTTGTAATTCTTGTAAGATTGGGAATAAAGGGTAAACAAACCCCTATCTTTACCCCCATTCAAAGAAAGAACGCCATAAGGCGGAGCACCCGCCTTTAATTGATAGAAGCTGAGGAAAACGCGAAGAGACACCTCTATCCCTAACACTGTACAAAGAACTTGAAACGCCCTCAGAAAACCCCAACTGTTGGGATGCAACTGGCTGGGAGCGGCATTAATATAGTTCAGAAAGTCACACTCGAACTGAGTAAAGGGAAGACGGATGCCCAGGTCCCTGAAAAAGCATTGATACACATAAAAATGGGGCGGACCGGTAGACTCCCCCATGAATACACAATCTCCGGCCGGACAGGGCTCCAACCGAATCAGTCGGGAGATTGAGGGGTCGCAAACCCTATGTGTCCTCCAAACCGAGTTAACTTCCAAGAAAGATTTAAAGACACTCTCGACCTTGGCCATTTCACGCTTCACCCATCCATAACCAGGAACGCCCTGTTCCAGGTCTACAGGTGGGGGCGAACCCGCCCTCGAGGCGACGGCACTCCCAGTAGCCACCACCTTTTCCCGACTTCGAAGCGGAGGAAGACGAAGAAATAGTTATAGCGTTGACTCCTCCATCTTTCTTCTTCCCATAGGTCTTCTTAGCTTCAAATGATTGGGAAGGCCCAGCTAGCTTCCCACTTTTCAGCCCTTGTTCCACTCTTTCTCCAATGGTGATGATGTCCAAGAAGAGCGTTGTCGTGTTCCCTATCATTTTGACATAATAGGGACCGGTCAACGAATTTATGAACAGGGACACCGTCTCCTTATCCGACAGCGGGGGCTCTATTTGTGCCGCCAACTCCCTCCATCGTTGGGCGTACGCCTTAAAGGATTCATCATTTTTCTTACTCAAGGCTTGAAGATCGGACCTATCGGGTGTTAGGTCGATGTTATACTTGTAGCGCTTGAGAAATGCGTCAGCCAACTGTTTCCATGTATACACCTGATTCCCATCCAGCTGCATATACCAGTTGAGTGCGGTGTCAGCTAAGCTCTCTTGGAAGCAATGGATTAAGAGCTTTTTATTAGTGGCATATGTAGCCATTTTTCGACAATACATGGTGAGATGACTTTTGGGGCAAGTCGATCCCACATATTTTGGGAAATCGGGCACTTTGAATTTGGGAGGAAATTGGATGTCTTTTACTAAGCACATGTCGGCGGCATCCTTGATATCAAAATCATGCCCCTCCATAGCCCTCAGCCGGTCTTCGAGAGCGTGGAACTGCTCCTTTGAAATCTCCGCCCCAAGGGATACAACCCGCGGAGGCTCATGCTCAAAATATGCAAGGGAAATACTCAAGAAATTTCTCATGGATGATTGCAAAAGCACTACTACTCCAATGAATCAAAATGAGAAATTTAGCAAAGATGATGGAGCTGATAAAGTTGATGAGCATCATTATAGAAGTCTGATTGGTTGCTTGATGTATCTTACTGCAACCAGACCTGATATTATGTTTGCAGTAAGCATACTTTCAAGATTCATGCATTGTGCTAGTGAAGTGCATCTACAAGCTGCTAAAAGGATTGTGAGATATGTTAAGGGTACTGTAGAATATGGTATTAAGTACTCTCACTCTCAGATTTTTCAATTTCATGGATTTTCTGACAGTGATTGGGGAGGCTCAGTTGATGACATGAAGAGCACAACAGGATATTGTTTCAGTTTTGGATCAGGTGTTTTTTCATGGTGTTCGAGTAAGCAAGATATTGTAGCTCAAAGTACAGCTGAGGCTGAATATGTAGCAGCCAATGCTACTGCGAATCAAGCAATTTGGATTAGAAACATACTTGGTGATTTGCACATGGAGCAAAATAAGCCAACACAGATCTTTGTTGACAATCAAGCTGCAATTTCAATTTCACACAATCCTGTTCCAAAAGTGAAATCAGTCTAGTCTATTGCAGAACTGAGAATCAAAGTGTTCAGGCGAAGAACTCCCGGTCAAATCGACTGCCTCGGCAGCGACAGCGGGGGATGTAACCCCCTCCGCCCTGCAAGAAGCAGAGGTCCCCGGCTCATCCTTCTTTCTTTTTCGGTTCAGTTTCAAGGGGGAAACTTCCTCCTCAGAAGCTTCAGGAGCCTCGAGTTCGGTAACCTTGAAGCGGTGCTTTAACTCGCGCCACGAGTTTCTCCCCAATATACCTACAAGAAACGGAACACATGTCAACAAAAGCAAAGATGCACGAACCCTAACGAACCACAAAACACAAAAATAAGAGATACTCACTCTCCAAACCCCTCTCTCTGTGCAACGAACTCTCAAGTGACAGAACGAGTTTAACATCCATAGGACGGGGAAGCGCCTTGAGATTCTCAATGGCAGCCACCTCCGAGGCCGTCAACTGCGAAGGATCCACCCCATTGAACCCAGACGGGTCGGGACACCAATAAAGAGGAAACTTCGGCAACCCACCGAAGTAGAACGCACTATCCTCAGATGGGTCAACACCAACAAGAGCGACTCGGAAAAACTCCTGCTTGTAATTCTTGTAAGATTGGGAATAAAGGGTAAACAAACCCCTATCTTTACCCCCATTCAAAGAAAGAACGCCATAAGGCGGAGCACCCGCCTTTAATTGATAGAAGCTGAGGAAAACGCGAAGAGACACCTCTATCCCTAACACTGTACAAAGAACTTGAAACGCCCTCAGAAAACCCCAACTGTTGGGATGCAACTGGCTGGGAGCGGCATTAATATAGTTCAGAAAGTCACACTCGAACTGAGTAAAGGGAAGACGGATGCCCAGGTCCCTGAAAAAGCATTGATACACATAAAAATGGGGCGGACCGGTAGACTCCCCCATGAATACACAATCTCCGGCCGGACAGGGCTCCAACCGAATCAGTCGGGAGATTGAGGGGTCGCAAACCCTATGTGTCCTCCAAACCGAGTTAACTTCCAAGAAAGATTTAAAGACACTCTCGACCTTGGCCATTTCACGCTTCACCCATCCATAACCAGGAACGCCCTGTTCCAGGTCTACAGGTGGGGGCGAACCCGCCCTCGAGGCGACGGCACTCCCAGTAGCCACCACCTTGCCGCGCGTCCTGCCCCTGGCAGACGCAGAAGAACTAGCACCACGACCACCGACCATCGATAGAAAGAAAGAATGAAGACAAGAAAGAAAGGAAGGAAAGCGTGTGCAAGAAGCCGAAAGGGTGAAAAGAGAAAGGTGAAGTGAAAATAGAAGGGGCGCGAGAAAGAGAAAAAGGTTTCCCAGAAATTCAAACGACCACGACACGTGTCAGCCGGGGGATATACCTGACCGCGCATTAAATGAAACCATCATTGTATCGAATCCTCAAGCTAAATGCTCAGAACTCAAGAACTTAGCCAGATCGACTCTTAGAGAGATCTCAAGGGCAGATAATAGCTCAAAAAGCCCAAGAATACTCAATAAGAGGGTCCTAGAGGTCTGGAAAAGTGTGAAAAAGTGTGGAATGACGTCCAAATGACGTCCTATATATAGGAGTGAGGCGTAGTACGGCCTCTGGGGTCAATACGACCTGTACTGAAGTTTTGAACTACACTACGACCGTATTGGGTTCAGTACGGCCGTATTGGGTTCAGTACGGCCGTATTGTAGTTCAAAATGTTCAGTACGGCCGTACTGAACTTCTAGGAGGCCGTATTGAGCTCCAATCCTCCCACTTCCTTATTTTAAGCTATTCTAAGACCTCTAAACCTACAGATAATCATCCTAGGGTCTTCTAGGAGTCCTTCTGGCTGACTTTCCTTCGGTCTTTGAGAGTCTTCGAGTTTTATTTCCGACCTGGACAATTTTAGGGGTCTACAAAGAGACATAAGCTCAACAAAACAAGAGCAAGCAGAAGAGAAGGGGAGATCAAGATCACGAATACGCGCCACCTACCGCGGAAGCTCGGCCAGCCGAAGTGGCGACCGAAGCCATCGCCCCGGAGGTTGGAATATCCTTCCCGACGGCCCGGGAAGCTGTCTCGGCAACAACTCCCACCTATAACCGACAATCCCAACTTAGAAAATCGAGGAATAACATGAGGAAGGGGAATAGCTGGGCAGGATGCTTACCGATGTGGCCTTAGCCACTCGCTCGCTAGCTCGGACAGATACCCCAGCAGACCGGGCTGAAAGCCCACTGACTGGCGGCACCCCGCCAACAGCCACCTGGGTTCTCCCCTCAGGCGAAGAACTCCCGGTCAAATCGACTGCCTCGGCAGCGACAGCGGGGGATGTAACCCCCTCCGCCCTGCAAGAAGCAGAGGTCCCCGGCTCATCCTTCTTTCTTTTTCGGTTCAGTTTCAAGGGGGAAACTTCCTCCTCAGAAGCTTCAGGAGCCTCGAGTTCGGTAACCTTGAAGCGGTGCTTTAACTCGCGCCACGAGTTTCTCCCCAATATACCTACAAGAAACGGAACACATGTCAACAAAAGCAAAGATGCACGAACCCTAACGAACCACAAAACACAAAAATAAGAGATACTCACTCTCCAAACCCCTCTCTCTGTGCAACGAACTCTCAAGTGACAGAACGAGTTTAACATCCATAGGACGGGGAAGCGCCTTGAGATTCTCAATGGCAGCCACCTCCGAGGCCGTCAACTGCGAAGGATCCTCCCCATTAAACCCAGACGGGACGGGACACCAATAAAGAGGAAACTTCGGCAACCCACCGAAGTAGAACGCACTATCCTCAGATGGGTCAACACCAACAAGAGCGACTCGGAAAAACTCCTGCTTGTAATTCTTGTAAGATTGGGAATAAAGGGTAAACAACCCCCTATCTTTACCCCCATTCAAAGAAAGAACGCCATAAGGCGGAGCACCCGCCTTTAATTGATAGAAGCTGAGGAAAACGCGAAGAGACACCTCTATCCCTAACACTGTACAAAGAACTTGAAACGCCCTCAGAAAACCCCAACTGTTGGGATGCAACTGGCTGGGAGCGGCATTAATATAGTTCAGAAAGTCACACTCGAACTGAGTAAAGGGAAGACGGATGCCCAGGTCCCTGAAAAAGCATTGATACACATAAAAATGGGGCGGACCGGTAGACTCCCCCATGAATACACAATCTCCGGCCGGACAGGGCTCCAACCGAATCAGTCGGGAGATTGAGGGGTCGCAAACCCTATGTGTCCTCCAAACCGAGTTAACTTCCAAGAAAGATTTAAAGACACTCTCGACCTTGGCCATTTCACGCTTCACCCATCCATAACCAGGAACGCCCTGTTCCAGGTCTACAGGTGGGGGCGAACCCGCCCTCGAGGCGACGGCACTCCCAGTAGCCACCACCTTGCCGCGCGTCCTGCCCCTGGCAGACGCAGAAGAACTAGCACCACGACCACCGACCATCGATAGAAAGAAAGAATGAAGACAAGAAAGAAAGGAAGGAAAGCGTGTGCAAGAAGCCGAAAGGGTGAAAAGAGAAAGGTGAAGTGAAAATAGAAGGGGCGCGAGAAAGAGAAAAAGGTTTCCCAGAAATTCAAACGACCACGACACGTGTCAGCCGGGGGATATACCTGACCGCGCATTAAATGAAACCATCATTGTATAACCGTCATTTCCTTCAAAGCGTCACACGCACGATTCCAGGAAATGGATAGTCGCGACACGTGGCACCTTGACAAGCCCCTTTCACGAGAAATACTCTTACCCTGACAAGCTCAACCTTAACTCCTCGACTCACGGTCTTCGGAGCTCGGGGGGCTAATGTACTATCCGATCCGTGAAGTCGAGCTCCGAGCTCGGCACCACGGCGCAGGATGATCTCGGGTACAC